GACAGCTACCCCTGCCCTTGCCCTCATCCGTGTATCAAACAGGCAGTGGTCTGTCTGCAGTTTTTTTCGTCCCACTGAGGAGGCTGAGCTAACCATGAGCCTTCTTAGGACAGAAAATCTGCCCCCTCAGTAAGCACCTGTTGGCACCTACAGTACTCTTTGCGTTCTCTGAATAGACTTTCTGGGGCGGGGGTGTCAGGGAAGGCTGCCAGTGCACAGTCCTGACGTGGGCAGGGCATCCTATCTCTGGACAGCCCTGTGAAGCTGCCCTGTCCCTTCATGCCCCCTGTATAAAAAACCCAACAGAGGAAGACACTTCTCTTAGTAGAGCCAGCAGTGGGTTACCACTGGGCAGAATGCCTGTTCTCCAGTTCCTGCTGGACCACTTGGGCACAGAGTGTGCCAGGGACTTGAGCTGTATGAGACAGTCTCAAAGAGGCTCCAGCTGACTGACTTCTAGTAGCCAGTTCTTAGTTACAGCAGGTTAGGCTTCAATGCTCACGTCTAGGATTTAGCAAAGAGGCTCATCCTTGCCTGTGTTCTTCTGCATCTGTTATCTTCTGGAAGGATAGCCATGCTTCCTGCCACAGAGATACCGTTGCTTTGGAAATTGTGGGGGAGCCAGAGGCCATCCTGGAACAGAACCATTGTGACACTCCAGGAGCAGGACCTGAAATTGCTGCTCTGTGACAGCATATTATTAAGGGAGCAAGCACACGCAATAGGCAGGAAGAACGTTTGTTCCGCTAGGCAGCAGTGAGGTTGTCTAGCAGTTTCATGTCACCTCTGACATGCTTCTTGCACCACTTGGCATGTGTCTCCAAAGAGTAAGTGAGGGGCAGTGACGTGGGATGGGGTCTCTCACCAGGAGCAAGTTCTGTGGCCCAGTTCAGAGATCCTGCAAGCTACCCTGGACACTTCCTGTAGCTCCTTCTTCCACAGCTGCCTAGGGATTTTTCCCCCATAAAAATATCATTTCCTGCTTAGCCTTCTTGCTTTTCACACGGGTGGCATCTTCTCCTTCATTAGATATGTTTAAAAGCTTTCTTGGTTCCTACACTTTTCATGTGCATTAAGATGCTATCTATGGTTCTTTGTTTTAGTAATATCCGGAATTTGGAGTTCTTCGGCTTTGTCACCCACCACCAGTAAAAGTAATAACAAGGACACAGATGTGACACCAAGCATGTGTGCAGGACATTTGTGCGCTAGGGAATTATCTTCTCCGGACTTAAGTGCTTCCTGCCATTCCCTTTGATTTGATATGATCAGTGAGACTGTAAATTATATTCGGTGCTTTTCCACTATCTGTGCAGGGCTACATGTTTGTCCAGATGAGTATCCTGTCCAGTACCCACATCCTATCTGGTGTCTGTGATACTTTCCTACCCACCCCGGCTGCGTTCCTTGCTTGGGAGTGCTGAGGACTCTGCCTGGCACATGGCGAACAGCTGTTAGTGTTTACCATTGCTTACTAAAGTGTGTGTGTGTACTGACTTTCTTTCTTTATTGGTTACGTGGGCAGAATACCTGGTCTTGTATGCCTATCCACCCCACACTCTGCAAGGCACTGTGCAACATCGGTCTACTTATGAATTGCTGACCCTACATATTACCATTTAGTTTGGACTATTAGTTAGCATTTCTGTCTAGACAGAATTCGGGATTGGATCTTAGTTGATACACATGGTCCATTTCATTGTTTCTCCTACATCTTTCCCAAGCGAACACACGAACATACAGAGATACAGATGAGCCAGGAGTGAGTGTCCTAGCTGTACCGCTGCTCTCCAGTGCTTCCTGATAAGACTTTTGCTTTAAAAAATATTAATGTATTGCATGTATGTAGGTACACACATGTTGCAGCACACATGTGGAGGTAGAGGAGAAAACTATAGGACCCTGTTCTCTCTATGTATCATGTCCCGGGGAAATGCATACAGCATGGCCTTTACCTGCTAAGTCATTTTCTAGCCCTTCTGTTAAGATTTTGTTGTATTTTAGTCATCCTGGTAGGCGTATAGTGACAGACACTGTGACTTTAAATTGCTTTTCCTCTTAACTGACTGCCTTTTGGGAAACAGCGGTCCCTCTGTATCCCCTGGGGTATTGGTCCTAGATCTACCCGACTCTCCAAGATCCCCACACATCCCAGAATTCCCTAGAAGCTAAGTGAGATGGTATAGTGTCTGATGGAACTCTCCCACATCTTTCATGTGTGCTTTGTATTAGGTAAATTAGAATACCTAATGCAATATAAATGCTCTGTACACAACTGCCACACTGCTCAAATAATAAGAAGGAAAAAAGTTCAGTACAGATACAGTTTCCTTTTTCCAATTTTTTTTTAATCTATTGGTTGGTTGAATCTGGTTACAGAGAACCAAGTGGTCACACAGATCGCCCCTTCAGGATGCACCTGTTCAAGTCTCTTGCCCCCTTTTCTACACAGAGCACAGAGATGCTCCTCCATTCGGAGGCTTAACAATAGCAAAGAAGCAACATGCAGCAAACGTCTGCCCTTGGGCTGCTTTTCCCTCTGTTGACGAGGTGGGAACACAGAGAATCTTCATTCTAATGTGACTCATCACCTCATTTGGTCTGAGCAGCTAATAGCTTTTTAGGTGTAACAAGCCATTGTTCTTCCCTTGTACTAATACCTCATGCTGTCCAGAGATTCCTGTGATGTTTCCCGTTGGCCTCACTGGGATTGTTCTGAGGGAGACTCTGGAAGGGCGTGCTCGGTCCTCATGTTCCTACTTGCGGGTCCTCTGACAGGCTGTCCCCTGCTTTGCCATGGTTTGAGCACTAGGTTCTGACTCTTAGATCCTCCATCAGTTCGTCTCTTCTCACACCACACACCGACTCACTTGCTGTGGCTGTGTGTGTAGAATACTAAGACAATGAGTCTTCTGGGTAACACAGCATCACAGTGCTGCCCTGGACAGGGAGCTGCAGATTAGGTCAGAAGGCTTGAGGATCAAGTTACATGGTGGATGCTCTCCGTGGGCCCCTGCTACTGCCATCGTGCTCCTGTCCCCGGGAATTTTTCAAATTTGAAATGAATTTTCCCAAAGAATTGACCCTATAGATCAGTTTGAAAGAATCAGTGTCCTCAGCTCTGATTACCTGAGTCTGTCAGGTCCTCTTAGGTCTTAAGCACTTCTCCATAATAAGATCTGGTTTTCTATGTAAAAATTCTGAATATCACTTTTTTAGGGTTATCCCCAACTCTGAATTTTTTATATTCTTCCAATTGTATCTTCTTAAAACTAAATTTTTAACCCCAGCTGGAATAAAACATTAGTTTAGTCACTCTGATAACATCCCTTATGACATCATCTGTAGGTCATTTGGGCTTCATGTGCCCACCTTATCCTGTGTGTACTGTTGTTCTTCCTTCCGGGTTTCTCACAATGTCCACAGTGGGAAGGAACATCCACTACGCATCCTAGAGGGCCATTCCCTGGAGCCCATTGCTTGCAAATTGCCAACTCAGTACTTTCCAACAGGAAAACAGTTTCCTAGCTAGAACTTCTAATCTAGTTTGGAGATGTCTTGGGATTCCTTGTTGGGAATGTAGCCCTAGGTGGCCCCAGGCAGTTCTTTCTGAAATCATCAACTATGTACTTAGGTCACTGTTCCAGGTTGCGGCTGACTTGCAGATAAGATCAGAAAACATGGGGTTTGTTGCTGTTGCATGGTGGACGGTCTCCATGGGCTTCTACTGCTTCTGTCCCACGATGCTTAGCCCAGAATGCGCCCTCCTGCTCTCATTGTTTCCAGACATCCTCTAGTGGTGGCTAAACTGGTCCTTTCCCATTCAAGGAAGTTGTCCTGGGTACTCTTTCAGGACCATCCCTGGCTAGGGATATCTCACCCCAGCCTCTCCTTCATTCTTTCAGAGATCATGAAGCCACAGGGAAATTCTAAGTGTTGGACTTCAACTTCGTTTTCTAGAGCGTTGGTCTGTATGCAGCATATAGATTTGTGAGGCATGACAGGGTCCAATATTGACTTTGAACCATGATTCATTTAAGCTGTCCTAGCCACAAGTCTGATTTCCCCCATCAAACTGTGCCCAGCTTGTAATGATGCCTGTATCCACCCACCCTTCATGCTTGGTACCCGGTGAGAACTGCAGAAAGATGAGTGGCATGGGATGTTCCAGAATCCCTTTGTTGTGGGCCTCTGGAAAGTCTGCTGTGGTTGGGGGTTCCTGCTTTAAATAGAAGAGCATGCTGGGAAGCTGCTACGTGGGGTGCAGGGCTTTGGCATGCATGGGAGCTACAGTTTGGTGTCTGTAATGTCAGAAGATTCAGCTTGGCTCTTAGGCCTACCCTGAATGATATTATAGATCTTGAAATTGGTATTTTAAGAGGTGAGTGCGATGGTGGGCTGTATATTAGGACCCTCTTTCCTGCAGTGGTACTGAGAGCTGTCAGCAGCACCCAGTGGAACCGGCCCATTGTTAGAGAAGAGTTCTGTAGGTTCCAGACCATGCCCGTGTATGGCCTCCAGAGCAGGATGGAAGCGGTGAGCTCACTAGTCCTAGCCTTGTCACTTTTTGTCCTGGCGCTTGAGTGACAACTGAACAGTCTGTTTAGAATGCTGACTGAAATCAGGGTTGTGTAAGTCCCAAACATCTTCTAATGCTAACTGTGACTGGCAAGAGCATTAAATTGCAGAAACCTTCCTTAGCCTGAATGGCCTCAAGGAGCTACATACATTGTGAGTCTCTCAAGGAGAATGAAGCAGCTAATCAGCTCTGTCGGCTTCAGCTGCCATTGCCTCATGCAGCCTGATGTGGGCAGTGAGCTGTTAAACGCAATAAATCAAATCTGTTTGCTTTTCCCCATCCCACATCCCTTCTAGACAGCTGAGGCCCTGGGTGCAGCCCTGGACAGTGCACAGCTAATGAGAGAGGCCAGAGCCACTGCCCTTGTCAGGCGCTCACTGTGGCTGCGCGGTCACTGACGAGCTGCTGGGAGCGCTCTGTGTCGTTACCTCTGTGAGAGCTCTTAGAAAGAGGGGCTCAGGGAGGTTGCGCCCACAGTGGAAGTGATTGCTGGTACAGGATCCAGGATGCCTGATAGCGATTTCTGCTTTTCCCCTGGTGTCTACTTCTTCCTGAGAAAATCCTTCCATCCAGACATTTAAAATATACGACCTCTTTCCTCCAGTCTGGACCACAGGCTGCTAGCTTTCATTTTTTTTTTAAACTTCATATACAAGATTTTATTCATAAAGTTATATCTGTATCAATAAGATTTAAAATTTTTCTGATATACATTTAAGAGTGCTGCATTTAAGAGTATCATTTACTCATTGTTGAGATATCATTACACATACACATATTAGTATTCGACACAGACACTTTTAGCTCATTGAAAAGGCAAAGCATTGGTGACCACTGAAAAATTTGAGTTTATCAATTTTTTTTTAAACTGGGAAAAAAAATTGGGAAGTGAAATTCTTTTAATTTTTAGTTTTCTACCCATTTGTCTTTGCCTGCATAGACGTCTGTGGGAGTGTGTAGGATTCCCTGGTCCTGATGTTACAGGCAGTTGTGAGTTATCATGTGGTTACCAGGAATTGAACTTGAGTCCTCTGGGAGAGCAACCAGTGCTCTTAACCTCTGAGCCACCTATCCAGCCCCAGAAGTGCACTTTTCATTGCATAAATATCTTTCATCCATATGCAGTTCTTTTCTGGAAAGTAGAGTCCATTACTTCGGAATCAGTCCTCACACAGTTTCAATGACAGCGGCAATTTCTTTGAATTGTCTGTAGAAATTCTGAAACTGTGGGATTGTCATTTCGATGGACTTGGTGTTTACTTGGCCAGAAGGATCTGCCACTTTGAGCTTCACTGCCACATACGGGTACTTGAGGGATCTGCAGCGGTCAGAGCTCACAGCCATGCCCAGTTTCCACTGAAAATCTACAAGCTGGCAGGTGACCTCGGATTTGGCATCCAACACCAGTTCCCTGAATGGAGACTCCTCCATGGCCAGACTGGAACTCCTAGCTTTCATTTTTGAGCTGTACGGATATAGTGCATAATGGGCCTACTGGTGGTCCAGAGCCTGGCCTGGAATCTGCCCACTGGCTCTCTGCATAGCACATCCTTGCTTAATGTAATGCGGAGGTGAGCATGCCACTGAGCTAGGACAGGAAGTGTGTGTACACAGAGCACACTTGGCTGCAATGGCCGAACAACACAGCAGTTCTTGCTTGCTACAGCAATCTTTACTTTACTAGCATTGATTGGCTCAAATGTTATTTCAAAGAAGGATTAGCCTATTTGGTTTTTCAGAATTTCATTATAGTGTTTCTGGTTATAAACAGATTTTCTTTCCATGTAGTGAGTATAAAGTTTAAAGGAGGATTTGGCTCTAGTAGAATGTAGCACACGCTACTTTTTCCTACTGACCCACTGTGCCTTCTGGGCAGAATGTGTGGGGCAGCTGCTGAAGAGCTGTGAGGTCAGGGACAGCTGGCAGACCGGGAATAAACTAGAACTCAGTCATCCGTTTCCAGCCTGGATGCAGAGGCAGCCCTGCCTAGGTACACGCTAGAAGTTCTGAGAGCAGCACTGTACTTGGATACGTGGAGCAGCCAGGGAGCCCCTGGAGGAAGCACTGGAAGGATTCTACTATTTGCTTTTCTTTATTTTTTTCAATTCTCCGTGGCTTCTTCAAGGCAGTGATGGCCAGTAGGTCTAAACACAGAGGAAGGGGGATCCTCTGGAGAGGAAGGACAAGACCCAGTGTGCAAGGACTGCAAGCATCCCTTCTATTTGTCTCTGTCAGCTCTCCCTGGCCCTGGAGGCACATACAGTAGCAGGCAAGCTAAGACTGGCTTTTCCCCAGAAGGTATTGGGCTCTCAAAGAGGATGACCACCCCAGGGCTTTGCTTTGATACTCTGTTGTGCCCTTGTGAGCCCAACTTGACAGCATGTGCTGGCACAACAGAGTGTCACTGTGAAACCTCTGATGTTACTGTAGCGCATGGAGGCCCTAGGCCTCACCCTCTGGGACTTCTACCTAAGATTTATGTAACATTTGCAGCCATATGATAGTGCTCAGAGTGTCCACACTTGACACAAAAAGACAAAAGCCGAGAATCTCAACCTGGTTGAGAAATGGTGGGGGAAATAATTGGCGAATACCAGCCAAGGATGGTCCAAGGCATCACCAGAGCTCACCTTCTGAAACAGGTATAAAGGGAATACAAGGTGTAGAAAGTGAAGATTTTAGAACTGAAAAATCTTAATAACCAAAGTGATGCATTGTGTGGCCTCAGTGACAGACAGAGGGGTACGGGGCCAGTCTATGACATGAAGACAAGGATTGCCAGTAACCAGACTGATGGATACGAAGCAGATGGGTGAAACTGAATAGAACCTGAGACTCTGGGACAATACAAGGATAGCGCTGTGCCTGTGGGTTAGTCACTCAGTAGCCCATAGTCTGCGTAAGATGCTAACTCTAAGGCCTACTAATTTTAAGTAATTGAAATTTACCTTCTAACTAGAATGGAATTAAAATGTATGTCAGCGTTCAAATATTTGAAATACCAAAGCATGTACCTCTCAATAATGTAATGGGCAGAAAGTATAAACGGAAATTAGTTGTTTGGACAATAAAAAATAATGTATTCAGTATTCAGGGCGGCAGAGGAAGGAGGATCTCTGAGTTCAGGGCCAGCTAGGACTACATAGAGAAAGCCTGTCTTGAAAAAAAAAAAAGTATTAAAGATTTTCAGAGGAAATACCAGCAAATTCAGCCCCTAGAAAGAGCAAAAAATGCTTCATTGGGAAAAAAGGGTCAACGGTCTTGAGTTTCCACCTGTGGAAACTTAAAGAGAAAGAGAACCAGAGCAACATCACAGAAGGAAGAAAAGGCTGAAACAGAGCCAGAGCCCAGAGAAGTCAGGGACAGGACCCAGGCTTTCACACTGGAGCAGCTCAACCAAGAAAGACAAAGCAGGCATTACATTCAAGAGCTTGAAAGATTCCCATAGAGGGTTTTTTAATGGGTTGGGTTCAAGATAGTTTTCCTGGTCCTGTTCACTGGCCTTGGGAAGAAGACCGCTGCCCCTCCTCAGTATGCCTCCTCTCCTTCCTGAAAATGGATGAATTCACACTTCAGGTTGAGCCCTGAGTTGAGAGAATCATCACTTGGAGGCATGGGGCTGTTTTCCAGATGTTCTGTCAAGATTTGCCTGGGCCCCTGGCCCACCAGGGTTCCGATTCCACATGCTTTGTCCTTTTGTGGTTGAAACTATACCAACCCCTACACTTGGAAGTCTGTGCCTCCTCCATTGTACCCTGGACCCCAGCAAATCCTCAGTGAGTAGATGACACTATAAACAGGTGAATGCCCTGGGCGCCATGGAGATGTATCTGTGATTATTGATTGGCTCTCTACGGCATGGATGCCAAAATCCAGTGCCAAGTCCCGTCTCTAAAATGATAAAGTATTACATAAATATACAGAAGGATATGCATATGTTATAAGTTATCTGCAGATGACTCACAATACATGGATACAATACAAATATTACATAGGTTTATGCCATATCATTTGGAAATATTGACAAGATGTTATCTGTATGTGTTCAAGACATGCAAATCTAACATGGGAGAATGATGCTCCAACTGCACACTAGAGAGACTAAGACTCTAAGCAGAAGGCCCAGCAGGAGGTGAACTCAGTACACTGCTAGGCATGGGACAAATTCAAGGCTTACCTTGGGGAGCCTTCTGGGAATTTCTAGAAGGATAGGTTTCAAATAGCAATCCGTTAAATCGAAGGGTGTGGCCAGAGCCCGTGGGTTTGGGGCACTGTATAATCTTGAATGTGTAAGGGCATCAGGATCAGAATTTCTTAGGTTCTGGTTTCAGAGGGTTCTATGAAGCCACGGAAATTGAACTGGGTTAGGTATTCATTGTATGTATTGTCTGTTCCTTAAATATGTTCTGAGCTCCTTTGGACCAGGAGTAGGACTGCTGTGGTCTGGGGGATTCTCCCAAAGGGCCATATGTTAGAAACTTGGTCCTCAGTGGAGCAGAGCTGAGGTGGTGGGATCTGTAATAGGTGGGGCCGAGTACAAGGCAGTTAGGTTAGGGGGTAACACCACTAGCGGTGATTGGTGGAGCTCCTCCAGGTTATGAAGGAGGCCGTCCCATGTTCTTAGCCTACTTTGCGTGTGGCCATTTCCCCTTCTGCTGTTCTGCCATATTTTGAGGCCACCAGAGGCCCTCTCCAGAATGCCACCTTTTTCTTGTATGGAACTTCCAGCTGTCCGTGCCATGAGCCAGGTAAGCCTCTTTTGCTTTATTAAGTACCAGCTCTGGATTGTTTTTATTTTTAGAATATAGCAAAGATTTATTTATTTGGGGATAAACTCACAGTCAAGGTAGCAATCTGCCGTCCTCTGCGTGTTCTGGGAACTGGAGCCGAATCCAGCAGAAAAGGGGCTACTTTTAGTCGGCACATATAGTACATGAGATCATGCCCCAAGTGGACTGGTATCTTAAAGGCAATTGGCTGAAGGAGTTCCCACACAGTAACTCCAACACAGTAAAATTATGTACAATAAGAACAATCATCAGGTATTGTCAAAAGAAAAAGGAAGAGTATTAACTTTAACAAAAAGAAATTATATACTCTTATATTTAAATTAACCCAGATTCCTTTTTTATACTCTGCCACATGGTGGTACCTTTATTAGCATGACACATTCATCTCCTGCTTCCTCTGTGTCTGACTGGTGACTCCTCACTTTGCCCTTCTTCTTTCCAGAATTCTGAGTTTGACTTTCCTGCCTAACTTTATTCTGTTTAGCTATTGGCTGGTCCCAGCTCCGGATTGTTACAGCACCACAAACCACACCAACACACAGCACAGGGAACACATTTCCCAGGGAAAATGGAGGTCTTAAGAGTGCCCTTCTGGGCTGGAGAGATGGCTCAGTGGTTAAGAGCACTGGCTGCTCTACCAGAGGTCCTGAGTTCAATTCCCAGAAACCACATGGTGGCTCACAACCACCTGTAATGAGATCTGGCGCCCTCCTCTGGCCTGCAGGCATACATGGAGGCAGAATGTTGTATACATAATAAATAAATAAATCTAAAAAAAAAAAAAAAGAGTGCCCTTCTGCAGAATTTCTGGGACACAGTAGGAAAACCAGCCATCCCCAAAGGGAGTCGGGAAGCTACGTCAGAGGAACAGGGGTAATGGTAGATGAGACCTTGTGGGCAGGCACTTAACTCTAGGTTGAGTGGCATGGAGGTAGGAAGATGCGTCAGGGCTCAGGAAGAGGGTGGAGTGGTCTTCCCTCAGGTACTCACTGGGTATCAGGCTGTACATGCCCCACCATGTGTTCCAAAGCAACAGTGGTGGGAGCTAAAAGTGTAGCTCAGTGCCTGTCCGACATGGAGTCTGCTCTCTAACGCGCACATGTATGTGCACACACTCACAGAATGTCTGGGCCTACACACAACAGGTCAAGTTTGGCCTTTGGTAGTTGTCCTTAGACTTTGTCGTTTTAAAAACCTTGTATGAAATGTGTTAAATATTTTTTTCTTATATTGACGGGACTATATTTCTTCTGTTAATCTGGTAGCTTGCACTGGTTAATTTCCAAATCCTATTATACCATGTATAATTATTTTCATATATTGCTAAGTTCTATTTATTAGTGTTTTCTGTGTACGAAGTGACTCAGTCAAGCAAATTAATACAGCCATCGCCTCATATACTTACCTTTTTGTGGTGAGATCATTCACTATAAGTCAGTGAGTGATTCTCAAGAGTATGGAATTATGAACTCTAATGACCGTGCTATAAGATACATGGTTAGCAAGCCTTCCTCCTGTCTAACAGAAACTTTATACCCTTTTACCAGAACTCTCCAAACTCCACTTCACCCTTCCGTTCTCTGCTTCGAGTTCAACTCTTTAAGATTCCACATCTGAGTGCGTTTGTGCAGTACTTGTCCTTCTGTGCCTGCTTTGTTTCACTTTACACAGTGTCTTGCAGGATCATCCATGTTGGACTGAATGACATGTTTTTATGGCAGATTAGTATTTTACTGTGTATATGTATAATAATTTTCTTATTCATCCACAAGTTATTAGACTGTAGGTTGATTTAATGCCTTGGGAATGGTGCTGCAGTGAATATGGAGTACAGATATCTGACATATAAATTTCATTTCCCTTAGATCTATGCCAGAGTGCAATTGCCATGTCCTATAGTGGTTCTGGTTTGATTTTTGGAAGAATTTCCATACTGTTTTTCACAATGGTAGAATATGTACAGTTTTTTGTTTTGGGGGGTTGTTGTTGTTTGCTTTTCGAGACAGGGTTTCTCTGTAGCTTTGGAGCCTGTCCTGGAACTAGCTCTTGTAGACCAGGTTGGCCTCGAACTCAGAGGCTCTCTGCCTCTGCTTCCCGAGTGCTGGGATTAAAAGGTGTGCACCACCACCGCCCGGCAGGTAGAATATTTACAGTTCTACCAGTTGGGTCCAGAGTTCTCTAACTCTTATTTTCCTTAGAAATGTCTACTGAAGTGCTTGCCAACTTCCTTATCTACTCTCTTATAAAATGGACTCCATATGTTAGATATTAGCTCGTATCAGAGGTTTGGTTTATAGATATTCTCTCCTGTCTGCTAATTGTTTCCTTTGTTGAGCAAAGACTTTTCAGATTAATTTAATCCTGTTATCTAGTTTTGCTTTTGTTTCCGATGCTTTGGGGATCATTAAAAAAAAAAATTATTGCCCAAACCAACGCCACAGAATTTTTCCTCTAGTGATTTTCTAGTTTCAGATCTTACATTTAACTCTCTAACATCCATTGTCTTTGTTGGTGTGTGTGTGAAGAACCCAATGTCACTCTTCAGCATATGGATACTCAGTTTCCCCAGCACCTACGCACTGTGCTCAGTTTCCTGTTTCCAGTGTAGGACTGGATGTTTTTAGTCTACTCTCATTTTCTAAATTACACTATTTACATCGCATGTAAATTCATGCCGTTGTTGAAATGTTAGGACTCAAACTTGTCATTTCATTTTTAGTTTTCTGTTTATCCTCTTAATCTGACTTTTAGGTTTCCTCTCGTCTTCCTGGGAGTTATTAAAGCTTTCTTAAAAATTCCATTTTGATTTGTTAATAATTCATGACATCATTTTATCAGTTTGAAGGGGAGGTAGAAAGCTTGCCTTCTTTATCCTGCCCCAATACACTGTTCATATAAGACAGTGCAGTAATTTTTACTTGAGCCATCAGAAATCATTTTATAAGGCAGTGCAGTAATTTTTACTTGAGCTAGCCATCAGACATTTAGACACAAGAAACAGAGGCCTGTGGTATTTACTCTCATCTAAAAGTTCTCTTTTTCAAAAAATGACGATTATTAGCACAAACCAGTGGCATTCCCCATGTGTCCATGGAGAATGTGTATGTGTATGTTGGTCTTTCCCTTACCACCTCTCCCCTGCTGGGTTGGTTAGCCCCTCCTACCACTGTGAAGGAAACTTCTCCCAAGCTGTGCTCCTGGAGTGGAGCCGCTGGCAGCCGTTTCTTGGTTTTCCTTCATCCTAGAGCTGCATCTTCTCCTTTTCTCCGGAAAGTCTACTTTTCTGGACCCACAGTTCTTATGTAGCAACCTTCCCACCTCAGCCCTGCCTGTCCATCTGCATCTCTGCTGTTCCGTCGTCTAGCCCACTGACTTTGCCGCCTACCCCCATCCCATCATTGGCTTCTTACATCCATGGTGCCCCTTCTTTATGTCTTTCATTAATTTAGTAAGAATTTTGTTTCTCTGCTGAGCCAATGGCTTGACAGGTAAGAGTGCTGTGCAAGCATTGAGGACCCAGTTTCGGTTTCAACACCAACGGAAGCTGCCTGCAAACCTGGCCCTGAGAGAAGGGGATCTCTGGGGCTTGCTGGACACCTGACCTGCTAAAGAACACAAGTTCCAGAGACCCTGCCTCAAAGGAACAATATAGAGAGCGACAGAGGAGACACCCAATGGCCTCCGTATGCACAATGCATACACACATGTACACACACCACCACCACACATGAATAGGCCTGGTTGTTCATAGGATCACTGTTATGATGGCTGACTCACAGATGTCAGCTGATGTTAATGTCTCTGTCATCTTGGGATTGGCTTTGGCTGATTGCCCTTCCTATACTTTGAAATCTCCATAGGTCTTGGCATGGCAGGTAATTTCCGTTGAAACCTGAGTACTCAGGTGTTAAAGGCTGAGGCTGTAGGCCTCGGCCTTCCTTCTCAGTTTGTTTCTCCTGACTGTGTCCTGGTGGGAAGGTGCAGATTTTCCCCTGGCGTCTGTGGTCATGTAGGCACGCAGAAGCTCCTACTCCCTTGATGATCCCCCTGGCCTTGCAGAACAGCATGGTTCCTTCCTGCTTCCCACAGCCTGCCCCTGACACCATGAGCCAGAACTTGTTGTCCCTAAGGTCTGAGTGCTTCCTGATGGAGGGCGGGAGGTGCCTGCAGCTGGGCCCTGCTTTCAGGAAAGTTTGACTGGCTCGGAGATGCCGCTTCAGGGTGTCATCACACCTACTGCCTCCTGCAGACCTCTGCCGGGCCTCAGTTTGACACTTCCATCTCCAAGCCTGGGAGACCCAAAAAACCTTCCTTGTTCTACAGGACAGGTCTTCACTCCCAGAGAATTTTTGTACACCCCCCCCACTCTGGGGTGTTTGTGTGTGTGTGTGTGTGTGTGTCTGTCTGTCTGTCTGTCTGTCTGTGTCTGTCCTCTCCTCTGATGCAGAAAGGCACTGGCCCAAGTGACTGATCACTCCTGACAGCCTGAAGCCGAAAGCACCAGGGGCAGGCACTGACCTACTTTCCCCTTCCTGAGCTGGAAACATTTATGTAACAGACAGCCACAGGGCCCTGCTGTACCCATGATGGGTAGGAGATGCCCCAGACTAGCCACAGTGTGATCCAGTTTATGGCCCTTGCAAATCAACCTTAGCTGTAACAGGGCTTTCCGTAAGAGGGCTTGGCTTGGCTTGGCTTGTCACAGGCTGTCAGCGTAGACATGTGTGTTTGGTGTTGCATCAGTCTCCTGAGCCCAGATGCTTATTTCCTTCTGAGAGCCTTTGTAAGCTCTAGCCAGGGTCCAGCATTCCTCGGGGCCCGTGGAAATGTCCTGGCCAGCAGAACTCATCTGCTGTGTGTTTTACCCAGAACAGCGAGCAGCCACATCAGCTCCCAGAGAGCCCGACCTCCTGTAGAGCTGAGGTCCTGCATTCCTGGTTTGCCTTCTCTTCGCATGCTCACCAACTCCAGAGCATCTCCTGAGAATGGATAGATTGTGTCTCTTTGCTTCTAGAACCTTATTTGAGCCGCTGCTTCCCCAGCCACTCCCCCAGCCTCCACCGTCAGTCTTAGACCTTCCTGGTGTATGCCCTAGCCTAGCTAGCACTGTTGATATTTCCCTGATGGGGGCAAACCATCCTCTTGCTTGCTGGCTGGCTCATAAGTACTGGTCTATCACTGTGGAGAACTCAGTGATGAGAGACGAGAGCTGCTCACCAGGAAGGCCTGGTCCCAGGTCGCCCACATTGGTACAAAGTCATCATGTCACTTTCCCACAAATACTCTGGTACCTGTAATCGTTGCCTGCAGATAAACTGAAGCCTTAATTTATCCCGTGAAACTGACCATTAGAGGTAGTCCACATAAAGCCTGTGAATGGCACAGACCAGCACTGTGCAGGCAGAGCATCTTAGCTTTTGTGGGAGAACAGCAGCAGTTTAGCAGCCAGAGACTGAATTCCCACTGGGGAAGGTGGCCAGTATCAGCACATAAAGGGACACAAGTACAGGAGCCTTCTAGATAGTTGTAGGCAAAGAGGAGCTCTCAAGGGGGCGGGCCAGGCTAGGTAGCCTAGCCCTGGCTTTCCCCAGAGCGCCTCAGGCTGCCTGGCATTTGAGAGGCCATGATGGAGGAAACTGAGTCTACAGGGTTACATGGTTAGGACACAACTCTGTGCGTCTCCTATAGTGGTGACAGTGGCACACCACTCTCCTGGAGGCCAGAACATGGTTCCGGGTCCAAAAAAGAGTACCCCTGGTTACAGCTGTTCCTTCTTGTTCCAGGTGATGCCATCTGGGCCCCATCCATCCTTCCTCACAGCACCCTCAGCACCTTAAGCCACCACCCTGAGCTACACTTTGGAGGAAAGATGGAATCTAAGGTCTCAGAAGGTGGCCTGAACGTAACCCTGACCATCCGTCTGCTGATGCATGGAAAGGTGACGTGGGGCAGAAACCAGGGCACCGCCCGCCAGGGATTTGCTCTGTATTCCTTGTGCTACAGTCTCAAAACTGCAACGGTGTTGCATGTGCAGTACAAATTACACCTTTCTTAGAGCTACTCAAGACTGCTTGACCTGGCACCTATACCTCAGTGCCCTAGTGCCCGCATCCTGTAGGAGGGTGCTGTCCGTCATAGCCAGTAGTCACACCTCCCCACCCCACAAGACAAAGCTGGCCCTGTGTTCTCTGCTTCTACCCTAAGAAATCTAGCTCCCAGCTTTTATGCAAGATTTCCTGCCGGGGTGCCCACTAGAGTGACAGTTCTAGGACATCCAGCTTCCCAAAAAGCATGTCCTCTTGCACTCAGACATGTCTTTTCTGTGGTGGAGAGCATCCTCCCCTCCCTTCTCATAGCACACCCCCACACGGTAGACTGGCCCCTAGTTCCTGTGACAGAAGGGCTGAGGCTGAGCACTCCCTCCTTGTTTCCTGAACCCAGGCCACACCTTCCTCTTGGATCACAGCAGCTCTGGATTGCTGAGGGCCTGCTTATAGTGGGAAGGGCAGGTCAGATTTTGAAAGAAATTACTTCCCTTGGCCGGGAAGTCAGGCTGGCCCTGCCCCAAGGGACACACCATGATAACCTTGCTGGAGCTGGCCTGTGGGCTGGAACAGGCTGGGAGCATTGGTTCCTGCAGGCATTGAAGTACAATGGCAGAGTCGTGGGGACCGGGCCAGTGGCTTCTCCAGGTGTCCTACATTGTAAAGCAAATCACAAGAGTGGAGGTGTTATTTCCCGTCCGTCTGTGGCAGGGTTTCCTTAAGTGTGGGGGTGATTTTCCTCTTGCCAGGCAGTTTGTTGATGAAGCTGAGCTCTATACCTGATCAGCACTGGTCAACTGGGTACAGAGGAGCTGGGTAGCCCAACAAAGGCAAGTCTTCTTCCCTAGAGTTTCAGCTGTCCTGTGGGGCCAGTGAGAGAGTGCCTGTCTGGTACACACAAGGCCCTGGTTCCACCCCAACTCTGTAAAGACCGTAAATCCTCCTCATTCAGATAGACTGTTTTCTGAAGCCTCCGCCCCACGGTGCTTGACATCATCTTTCTTGATTTTTTTCCCTACAGGAAGTTGGAAGCATCATTGGGAAGGTAATTATTGAGTGAACTCTGCCTTTCTCAGGGTCTCTATAAAGTGATAGACAAAGACAGCAGTAGCTGCTGCTGGTGCCTGGCCCCAGCAGGTTCACAGCCCCGGCAGGCATACTGTGCTAGAGGAAGTCAGGGTCCCAAGGAGCTCTGCCCTGGCAGCCCTGTTCATGCCCTCTCCTTGCCTAAACAACAGTATCATGACTCTTGTCCTTGGCTCTGGGCGAACCATGCAGGGAGCATTCTTCCTGTGCACTGGTAGGGTCAGTCACCACTTTGAAGCTTATTCTTATCACCTCTGTGGCTGGTACATCTGGGTTTCAGACCCAGGGAAGTGTCACCATTCTTGCACTGATCAGTGCAAAATGACCTTCGGGAGCTTAGTAACTCCTCTTTATAACTAAAGCACGAGGCGTTTCCATGGGAAAAGGACCGATGAGAAGCCTGTGTGAGAGAGCACCTGAGGACCAGGCGCATCCCTCCCAGCATGCTGTATTTTTTTTAACCCTTGCTGGGCATCTCCTGGCAATATCCACCCTGGTACAATATTTGTGGTGCTGTCATGAAAACGGGCCTGATTCTGATCAAATTCACAGCAGCCAGCTATACCTCTGGGTGGCTATGCCTCCTTTCCCATGCCTTTGTTTCTTCTTCTGAGGTACCCCAGGATTGTGTGGCCCAACGAGTAAAGAGACCAATTAACTCAAAGGGGCAGGCAAGGACCAGGAGTAGGACTAGAAGCAGAGGCAGGCAGCCCCTCACCATGCTAGCAGCTTCCAGCATCCAGGATTGGGCTAAGCTAGACCCATGTCCCCTCTGTGCACCTGGCGGTGACAGACTTCCTTCTCTGTGTCTCCATTTCCAGAAAGGAGAAACAGTGAAGAAGATGCGCGAAGAGGTGAGTGTGCTTTATTCTAGATGACGTCCTATCCCCAGGTCAGGTTGACCGGGAAGGGGTGGCTCTCATGGACCTGCCTGTGTACCAGGGATGCAAGGCAAGGAGGGGAAATCTGTCTGCCATGCTCCACGCTCAGTGTTCAACAGTTTTCCTAGCAGTCACTGGGACTCTTACTAATTAACATTCTACTCTGGTAGGGCACGGAGGCACACACGTGTAACCCCAGCACCGAGGTCTGGTAGGGCTCGGTGGCACAAACCTGTAGCCCCAGCCCCAAGGAGACAGAGACAAAAGAGCACAAGCTCAGTGCCATTATCCTCTCCCACTTCACAGGGAGTTCAAGGCCAGCTTGGTTACACGAGACTCTATTTTTAAAAACAACAAAACCTGAAAATTCCAATTTGCTGGGATTTCTGGCAAGGATTTCACTGTTTAGGATGAGGTTTCCAAGCATCTCAGCACTGGTGTCTGCTTGAAGTTGTCTGCCAGCCCAGAGAAACTTCCATTTTCTGCCAGACGCATTTCCTCCTCTCTCACCTTAGAGTGGCGCCAGGATCAACATCTCGGAGGGAAACTGCCCGGAGAGAATCGTCACCATCACAGGCCCAACGGATGCCATCTTCAAGGCCTTCGCTATGATAGCGTACAAGTTTGAGGAGGTAAGGCCCAGCCTTTGCCTGCGTGGGCTCGGTTCCAGCCGGCTCTGCCCATCCATCTGTTTGCCTGACTTGGCCCAGGAACTGGCTTGTTTTGTGACAAGACTACCTTAGCATTCTCTTCGCCTTCAGTCCCCTGGGTGTTCACCCCTGTTTCTGTCCATCTAGAGGGTCAGCACCCTTTTCTGTTCCTAAATTTGGCCACTTCTACCACGTGCAGTGGAGAAGCCTGCCTCCTTTGTGTTTCCCAGGCACCATGCAGCGCCTCAGCACACAGGCCTCCCACCAGGCACATAACTGTCTTAGGCTGTACTCGAACCTTCAGAGTCCTGCTGCTGTGTCTGCCACATGGCCCCAGACAAAGCCCTAGCTGGCACAACTCCGGGCTCAGCTACACACCCTGCAGCAGCCTCCTCCCTGGGGAGTTTATAGAGCTGGGTCTTAAAAGGGAGTAGAAGTGGATTTTCAGGTCGGGAGATGTACACACACACACAGGTATATGTGATGCTTCTGTGTGCTCTACTGAGCTTCTCTTCATGTTTCAGTGTTTCCATTTAATATATGGTGATCACTGGCATCTTATTTTCTGTCATAAATAAGAGGCTGTGGTCAGATTTTTTTGGGTATAAGCAACCTCTCTAAATGGTAACAGTGGACTGTATTTTCAGAGCTTGCTGTAAAGATATCAATCTCCATCACATGTCACTGGGGGAGGGGAGCACTGTGTACTGGACACAGGGAAGATTTTAGGTACGCCCTAAGAATGGGTGTGGGTAGGAGAACTGGAGAGGACTAACTCCCCGGCAGCCAGGCTTCCTGCAAGAGTCGTGAGAGCAAGAGGACTTGCTTTCTTTGGTGGTCCCTGGCTTAGAATTGGGAGCAAGCATTAAGGAAATGGTGGGTACCCAAGCTTTAATCATCCTGGGTTGAAGCCAGAGAAGCTGCTTTAGCGGTATGGGCCGTTCTCATGGCACCCGTGGCCTGGCCATCACCAGTTTGCATGCTGAATTTCACATGTGCCCTTGCAAGAGGCTAGCCAAGGAAAAAAAGACTTAAGAGCATCAAAGAGTATTGTGTCTGTGTGTGGCGTTGGGCAGGGAACAGGGTATCTGTGTCAGGTTCATATGTCACTGGATCTGACGTTAACTGAGTTGCTGAGTTGTACAAATGGTGTCAGTGAGACTGGGTTCACGTGGAGCCCATGGGATCAAGCCGCTGCTTTTTCTAGCCCAGAGCTAAAGCTGAAGGCCAGCATTTGTCCAGTTGTCACGCTGTGCCCATTGCCACTACCACCACGCTCTTCTGTCTCTGCTGATTTTTAATTTGTATTAGTAGCTTAGCGTGCACCACTAAAGGTAGCAAGGATGACTACCTGTGACATGTCTTTACTGGACCTGCTGATCCAACACCAGGGCTGAGTCCCTGCGTAAGCCTGAGCTACCTGCTTAAGAACCTGAAAAAGGAGTGTTTGGACCAATCATAATCACTCATTTGGCTAATCACAGCAGTTTGTTTGGACCAATCACTGTCTCTACGGTTTGTATTTGGGACTAGCCACAGCCTTGACTAGTGATATAGAATATTGCCTCCGCAGGGAGAGCGCAGCCCCTCTGGCCATGTTACAAGTAGCTTCTCAGGGCTTGCGATAGCCAAAGGTCTGCCACAGCTATTCAAACAACCCTGGGTAGGGCTGCCCCTTCAGGAGCCAGGGCAGCTGGCCCTGGCATCAGTTGTCTGAAGGTGTCCATGCGTGTGCAGATGGCTGCTGCAGACACAAAGCTGATAGTCCTTTTTGCTCAAGGCAGCTCAGATAACAAGAGAAAGTTCAGTGGCTTCTAATTATGGAACCAAAATTTCAATGCCTAATGCTTACAGTAAACTTGTGGGCCTTCTCATTGATTCTGGCAGTAATTTACAAAACAGTTTAGAGAGTGCTTTAAACCTGTCCTGTATCCAGGGATGTGGACTCACCTTCTCTTTGTCACTTGGACACAGCTTCACGGCTTCTAAGTACCCTCTACTTAGCAATCCTGGATAAGCAAGGATTATCTGAGCCTCTCCAAGATTCTGCCCTGGGAAGTGTTTGGTACAGTTGATACACTTCTGAGCCCGTGATGACAGTGGCCTTGCTAATTGTTATATTTCTCCAGGCATCTTTGCTGTTGCCCTGATTCAAAGAACTTGGCTTCCATTTAGTGGCAGTTAACTCTCCCTAGCCACCGTGTCACCCTTTGCTGTGCCTTTGAAACACCCTCCTTCTCTGGGAAGATGGCAAGCTCTAGCAAATGAGTTAGATAAGGAGGTTGGGATGCTATCTCAGGAGAAGACAGTCCGCCATTCATAGTTCCTAGTGTACTGTGGTTGTCTGTTTAGCCCTCTGCTCTGAGGTCTTCTGGAGCGACTTTTCTACTATATGGAATACTGGATTGTGGTCTGAGCTGAGATACGTGAAGAAGGCTTAAGCATTAAGCTCCCTGGAGTTTCATTGCTGCATTTTGTTTGATCTGTCTCCTTCAGTGAGGCTCCAGAGACGCTTTTCTTGGGGAGACAGCACCTCCTGGTGGGAGGTCATAAAGAAGTACCTGGGAAGCAGCCTAAGCTGGTGATGTTAGACAGGGCAGTCTGAGGCCTCTCATAGTATATTGTCCCCTTTACCTGTAGCAGGGCAGATGTGGTATCAGCACAGAATCCCTAAACTCAGACTGACCAATCACAGGAAGAAAGTATCTGTAAGTAGTGGGCAGTGTGGCCATAGAATTGGTTTATCTTGGGCCTAAGGGACTTTCATGTCAGGAATCAAGCTGAGACCCTCGCCCATTCTAAGTACATGCTATCATTGAACTACACCTCCAGCCCTGAAAGTGTTAGGAATTTTAATTGCCAGTGATCCTTCTAGCTTCCCAGAGCATGGTGGTAAGGAGGCAGTGTTAGTAATAGGGACCCATCTCCAGAGTTCTTAAGTGCTGGCTCCTGCAAAGCGTGTGCCCTGACATTTGGTGTAAAAGTTGCTATGCTCCCGAACTAAATAAAACCAAGCCATTTTTAGCAACTTTAATGGCTATAGCTTTCTGCAAGGAAATGCTTTGTTACCTCCTGAAACACACATATAGTAGCTAAAACACCCTCAACCCAGGAGACAGGAAACATATATAAAACCCTGAGAGGTTTAGAAGGCTTGAGCAAGCCTCACCTTCTCATTCCGTACATCCTTGTTTTGCTAAACAGGTGACACGGGGCCTGAAAATTCCCTCATTTGTGTCTTGCATCTCTCGCTAGTGTTTTCAAATCCTAGCCAGTCTTTTTCAGTCGAGGACAACACAGCACATAGCAGTCGCACCAATGCTACCATAGGGAAGAAAGGTCATGCCCCAAGTTCACCATAGAATAGCAAGCAAAAGCAGTCCCCAGGCTGGAGACAAACAGAAGAACTCAGTACCAAGAGGGTGGTTCTAGATGCAGAGCTGAACCGCAGGCACAGGGGCCCCTAGGTACTCTGTCTGGATAGAGGCTGAGTCCAGGCCAAGAGGAAATGGAGAGATAGGAACAAGCTGCCCAAACGAAGCTGAAGTGGTATGTGCAGAGCTGGATGGAGCAGGGGGTTAGCCACTGTCTCCCGTGCAACAGATAAAGCATCTGGGTAGGAACAGCAGCTCACTAGAAGCAAGGCTCCCTGGTGATCACCCAGGAAAAGGGAGGATTTGTTTTTGTTTTCTGGGTAGTTGAGAATTAGAAGTGGAGAAAGACATGAGGTCAAATTCTGGCCATTTAGCCCCACGCTCCAGAGGTTTGGGTGTGGCTCTCCAGGGTGGCCGTGTATGTTGGTCTCAGCTACTTTCCCCCAATTCAGGCTGCATCCTCTGTTATCAAGTTTCCACATGTAGAGGCTTCTCTGGGTTTTCATGGAAACAGGCCTTGTACTCACCAATTCCATCTGACCAGCTAGTAACGCCCTTTGGGAGTGCCCTCCCACCCACCTGCTCTCCACTGGCCCCAGACAAGTCTGCCTTACATATCTGCCTGCCATCCTCATACCCAGTAGACATCATGCTAAGGTCAGACCTGATCATTTATCTTCTTAACCTATGACCTGTCCTGAGTCCCCTGTGACTCCTGACCACCCAGCCTTGTGAATCAATGTGTGTTGATGGCTCATGTGGCCATCTGGCGTATATCTCCTGTTCCTTTTAAGCCTGGCCTGGCTTTGAAGGTTCCATGGTTGCCAGGTTCTCTTACCGAGTCCCTTTGCTATGTGGGAGAGGGCTCCTTGAGTTCGTCCCAGTGTCCAGGAAAACAGGTAGGGGCAGAGATGCTGCTTACACGTGCTCACAGTGTTCCCAAGCCACACTGCTGTGCTCACTAATATGAATCCAACATGCCTGTTTTCTCCTCCCTAGGACATCATTAATTCCATGAGCAACAGCCCTGCCACCAGCAAGCCCCCAGTGACATTGCGACTAGTGGTCCCTGCCAGCCAGTGTGGGTCCCTGATCGGGAAAGGCGGCTCTAAGATCAAGGAAATCCGGGAGGTATTGCCCACCCTTATTGCATGTCTCCCAAACAATCTGTAAGTGTATGTACCGATACTGCACAGCCTGATGGCTCAAAATGGGTTTGCAAACATAACACCAGTGAAAAACGGGATGTGGGGAACCTTGCCGCATTCACACGTGCACACAGTGACGTGTGCCAGGAGTAGCCCTGCTTTGCCAAGGACAAGAACAAGGATGAGGGTGGAGGTCCCTGGACAGATAGGTTTTAGCATTCAAGTTCTGTGGCTCTGGACACACTCTGCTAAGAGATGCCCTTTTGTCCATCAGTCAGGTCCTACGTCCTGGGATGACACCAATGGAGCCTGAGCCTGATGTGGGTTTGACATTGAAAACATGTTACTTCAAGGGAGGCCAGGTCCTCATCCTCCTTCTGCCCCCACCCCCCCGTCCCCCGTTTTTGTTTTGTTAAGACAGGGTTTCTCCTTAACAGCTCTGACTCTCCTAGAACTCTATCTGTAGACCAGGCTGTCCTCAGACTCAGAGATCCACCTATCTCTGCCTCCTGCGTGCTGACATTAAAGGCGTGCACCACCATGCCTGGCCCAAGCCCTTCTCTTAAGCAGGAGGGCAGCCACCCCTTGTTGATTTCCTTCCTGTCCTCTTCTGTGACTTAGAAGATGCCAGGTTCACTATGTGTGTGGCTTCCTAACATTGTCACTGAGGTCTGTGAATCCGAGTAGTCACTTGAGGTACGTGGCAGGCACACATCAAGAGCAGGCAGGACTCTGGCTTCCTGGCCTCCGTGTGACCTGCTTCCAGGGAGGAAGAGTTCCTGGTGTTGGAAAGAGCACTCCTATCTGTTTCCCTGTAGATTCCTCTACAGACCCATAGCCTCCTGTCCGGCACACTGGCTGAGACGGTGGCACTTTCCAGGAAGTCATAGCTCCCTCAGAGGTGTGCAGAGTCAGGGTTGGGAGGCAAGATGACCAGCTAAGGCCCTGTTCCTAATGAAGGATTTTCACGGTGAAGCCCACCCTGGATGCATCCCCAAGAGTTGGAGGTGTGTGGTGCTGTTCTCCTTCCAATGCCCCTTCTCTGCAGTCCACAGGTGCTCAGGTCCAGGTGGCAGGTGACATGCTGCCCAACTCCACAGAGCGGGCAGTGACTATCTCAGGGACCCCGGAAGCCATCATCCAGTGTGTGAAGCAGATCTGTGTGGTCATGCTGGAGGTACAGTACGAACATCATGGGCCAGCACACGCCCCCTGCCCGCCTTGCTCCAGGCCGAGCTCACTCTCCGTTACTCTCTAGCGTTGTCACTAAGCCTCCTGTGCCTCAGTTGACCCGAGTGTTCATGTGGTCACTTGGGGTGTGGGAAGATCAGACATCAAGAACGGGCAGATCCCAGGCGTGGGCTGCAGGGGCACTCTGGAAAGTGTCACCTGTTGGTAGCCTGTGGCCAGTGCCTGGATGTGCGTGGGAGGGCATGGGTGGGGGAGGGGGGACAGATCATGGGGTTTCAGCTTTTGAAGTAGTAACCACTCTCACCAGACAGAGGCAGGGGTGGTGGTGTGTAAGAGGAAGTCTCCTGCCTGTCAGACCTGCCGGTCGGCAGATGTCAAGAGAAGTGCTAGCCCATACTCAAGGTAGGACCTGGACAGACCCAGGAAGATGCAGTGTGCAAAGAAAGCTGTGGGTACAGACAGAAGACAGAAGAACCACCCGACAGCAGCACCGGACAGCAGCACCGGACAGCAGCAGCCTCCTTAAGTTCCCGTGAAGGGTGGAACAGAAGTCACAGTAGCCCCTGCACCGTGGTCTTCCCTCAGACTTCCTCTGTGACTCTTCCCCAAGCAGGACCTTTAGCTGTTTGAAGCACTGCTGATCTCTGCCCTCTCATAGCCCAAGCTGACGTCACTACCACGTCTCCACAGAACTAACTCCACCAACCGGCTGCCTTGCCATCTGCTCTGTGTAATTGCCATCATGGGCAAACCTCACATTTAACTATTTGTGAAAATGTTTGCATAGTTCTATTTCCCTAAGCAGTAGTTGTGAAGTTAAAGATAGCTTTTAAAATGTTATTCTCATGCACTTTCCCCCGACATTGGTCAGGGTGATAGTGTGGTCTGTTCACAGGAGCCCAGAGGCTGAGGGTCATGGCTAAGGACTTACAGCTCTTTGTACTGTCATCTGCCCCAAGCAGTGAGAAGCACATGCTGAGCGCAGTGGCAACCTTGGAGTGGCAGTGAGTGATGGTAGCAGTTCTGCTAGACATCGGGGGCCAGTTGCCCACCGCTCAGGACAGTGGACGTGGGGGGCCAGCTGCCCACTGCTTAGGACAGTAAACATCGGGGGCCAGCTGCCCACTGCTTAGAACAGTGGGGGCCAGCTGCCCACCGCTCAGGGCAGTGGACATGGGGGGACAGATGCCCACCGCTCAGGACAGTGGACATCGGGGGCCAGCTGCCCACTGCTCAGGACAGAATATGTGTCCTTGCCAGAAGTTCCTAACAGACTTCCAAGCTAAAGGGAGTGGGACCAGTGCCTGGACTGTGTCAGAACTCACATCTCGAGATGGTGTCAGAGAAACATGGCCATGCACATTGTGCATCTCGTTGCCGGAGACTGACCTAACAGGGACATCCCACTCTCATTTGCGTGATGCAGTTTATAGAAGCTGAAAGGAGTGGCCCCCGCACCAGGAAGAAAGACATCACAGTAAAAACAGCCTCATTTCTACCTAGAGAACAGCTACGAAAAGGCATGGATGAATCCAAGACCCAAATTGTCAAAGACCTTTCAAACTTGCTTAAGGGGTGTGCCCTTTCTACCCCCCCAGTCAAGGAAAGCAGTGCCTCAGCATATGCACTTGGGTGAAAGCTGCAAAGAGAGCAACTTTTGCTTTTATGGACCTCCTGCCTCACAAATCTGGTGCCTCCTGCACCTGTGAGAACAGCCTGCATGCCTTGCCTCCCTGGGGATGTTGATGGTCTGAGCCCAGAAGGTCACTTTTCTGTGGATGGGTAAAAATGAATCTGGGCCTTCTGAATGGGCACGGGGAGCTCCTGTTTTGGGAGAGTAGCAGCCTGGAGCACAGGTGATTGGCTCTAGGATCTGGAATACTTGGCAGACACGATGTAGCAGCTACAGTCTGTGCTGGACACTGGGGAGCTCCTGGCATAATCTTGTACCACAGACCTGGGCACTGTCCAGGAAGCATCAGCAAGCCAGGTTTGCACAGAGGCGATTAGAGACATTTTTTAGGACCCCAGCAATGGGAAATATGGGCATTCCCAAGGGACAGCTCAGACTATGTCCTTTATATTACTGTCAGCTCCAGGGTAAGGAATGTTCCAAGGTCACAGCCTCAGCGGCTCTGGTAGACTGTGACCATTATCCTTTCAGGGATAGTTACTTGTTGCTGTAACAAAACATCTGCTAAAAGCAATAGCCACATTGCCAAGAGGAGACACCTATATTCTGGACACACGGGTAGTCAAGGAAAATTCCACAGACTTTGACATTGTGGAATCTCGTTCACTGGTGAAACAAAATGAATGATTCTAAGCCACTCTATGAGCGCTGCTGTAGGATAAGCAGAGAACTTGGGTTGCTCAGCATCAGATCCCATGGCAGTTGTGCTCAAAGTTGGTTTTCTCCAGGGACTCAAGAGTATTTTCTGTCAAAGGATGCAAGCTGCTCCTCTGTGAAGTCACTGCCTTATGCCTTCTACCTTTGGGAACCCCATGGGACCATACCAGGAAAAGGGTGGCAACAGGGGGCCTGGCATGCATAGCCTATGGGGGTCAGCTGCTAGCAGTCCCTTTTCAGCGGGCAGGTGACCCACTTGCCCTGGCATGCCTGTGGAACCTTTCCCCCTCCTGGTTAGCCATGGGTCTATTGAAGATAGGTAGCAAACAGTGCAGGCCTGGGAAAAGGAATGCCCATCCCAAGGAAGAAAACAATGAAGATAAAGAATCCGGCCAGCCTCAGTGTGCTGGAGGCAGGGTCATCTCCTTTTGATGTCCCTGGCTGTCCCCTCCCCTCACTGTTCTGGCCTGCGGAGCCTTTGCTGGCCATATCTGAAGGGCTGGGGGTTCCACAGAGGGGTGGGCATGGGGGAAGGCAGCCCAAGGCCAACAGCCAAGCTGTTCTAACCGCTCTCTCCCTCTCCTGTCCCTTTTCCTAGTCCCCACCGAAAGGTGCCACCATTCCCTACCGCCCAAAGCCCGCCTCCACCCCTGTCATTTTTGCAGGTGGTCAGGTAAGAGCCGACCCGCTCGCGGCCTCCACTGCCAACCTCAGCCTTTTACTGCAGCACCCGCCGCTGCCCGTTAGTGCACTCAGGTTTTCTCGCCTTCTCACGTGCACGTCTCCCGCCCTGCGATGGACACAGAGCTCTCTGGATCACCCCAGGCAGTGGGTGGGGCCTGGGGGGCACACCTGCAGCTCACAGCTACGTTTCCCAGCGAGATCCCTGACTGAGACAGGAGAGACCTGCAGACTGATGCACATTTAGGTGCTGCCTAACAATCCTTTCAAAACTCCTCTGTGGATGTTGCTGGACGGCTTCAGTAGTTAGTGTGCAGAAACATTGTGGGTGACCATGGCTTGTGTTTGAGTCCCCCAGAGCTGTGGGAACCCTGGTTCCATTTTCCTGAAGCACATCCAAGACCTTACCATATACGCAGGGAATAGCAGGAACATCCCTGTGAGGAGATGAATTACCTCAGGCTAGCCCATCTTTCACTGTGACTGGGATCCATCCCTACTCCCCCTTGTGTGCCTGAGTAGACATCCTCACAGGCAGAGAGCTCACATTTACAAACCTGTCCTTGAGGATTTAGTGGCCAGTGTCTGCTTCCTAGAGAAGGGGGCTGGAAGATTAGATGGGACAACTTCTGTCTGTGAGTAGTGCTGGCCAGGAAGGGAGAGAGACTGGAGAAGACCCCATTCTGACTTCCTTACGTGCTCACCAAAGCTCAGATGCCCACCTTTGCCATGAGACCTGTCCACACAGATGACTTAAACACGGACAGCCAGGGGTCCACCCAGAAGAGCTCTGTGTCCTGTTGGCCGCGATGTGTGTCTTTGTTCAAGGGAGACTCCCCATAGGTGACCCAGCTGGCAGAATAGACACAGGGTTTTACTTTAGTATTCAAAAGGAAAAAGACAGAGAACTTTTTTCTTATCTTTCTTCACATTATAAGGGAGTTTTCCTATACCTTTCTGGGAAACAAGCATGTGTAGCATGTGTGGGTCAGACCTGTTGCCCCCATCTCCCTCCCTGCTCCCCTATGTTATACATGGATGTATGTGCGCATGTGCACTCAAGCATGCACACATACACGCAGAGTCTCCTGACTCAGGTCTGCCCCATTGTTGGCATAGAGTCCTGTGCTCTTAACAGATCCAGGATGTGACACACCCCACTTACAGCAGGTCTTGCCAGCCTCATGCCCGAGGCTCAGGGCAGTACTTTGGACCATGCTGGCACCAGCGATATGGTCACACAGTCCATTGCCAAGCCCATCAAAGATCTGCCTCCATTGTTCTCTCCAGATTCAAAGCTAGCTGACAGTGACCAGTGTGAACTAGCTCTCTGTCAGGAGGAAATATGGGATTTTATTCAGAAAGCCCTTATGCAATGAAAACTATATGGTGTGGAGTCACAGCCTCAGTTCCAAGGGCAGAACACTCCAGGAGGAATCATGGCCAGGATCTCCTATGACAGTCAATAGTACCCCTATTCCAGTCACAGCACTGAAGGTCACTGTGCTCTTATGTTTATCCCCTGACAGTGTTAGCCTTTCAAAGCCCATCAACATTCCCTTGGAACTGTCTGGTCTGGCCTTGATTGCCCTGGATATACACAGGACAGACTCTCCTGAGCCATCCTGCGAGGAGGCAGTCTAGTAGGAAAGCCAGAATACAAGCTCAGGAGTAAAGATGGAAATTAGGTCTGGGCCGGTCCCCTCCAGGACCCCACCCCGAGGAGGCTGCCTATGTGTCTGACACTTTAGGAGAGACAAAGGAGAGGCCTGGAATCCCTACCAGCCGACTCTGCAGCCACTGTTACATACTGGCCAAGCTAACAACCCCGGGCAGAACACACTGAGACATGTGACAACCATGTAAGGGCCCAGAATCAACAGTTACCTCGGCTGAGCTCCTGGGTTCGGCTCAGACATACAGGACTCCGAGAGCAGCGGGCCAGGCCAGAATGATGGCATGTCCCTTCCTCAGTGATGCTCCCTTGGGTAACAACTGGGAGATCATTCCTGGTGGCAGTTTTCCAAGAGCCAAGACTATGTCCCAGCCCCATTCCTCACAGAGCAGATACCTATCTCTTTCTCCGTGAAAGTGCCATATCTTAAAGGTTATTTTTTTCCTCTGCCGGCACAGCCAGGCCATCCAGCACAGACTTTTTTACCGGAACTGTGTCTATTTCAAAGCTGCCCTATGGCCGGGTCCCTGTTAGGTAGTCACATGGCTTTGAGCTCCTGAGTTTGGTTGTGACAAGAATTAGCACATTTATAAAAAATGTGGGAGGGTCTGGGTCCATAGAAGTGACACATGGTCCTCTGAGGTAACCCTCTCAGATGCCCTGAGACCTCAAGGGTGGTCACAGGTCAGACCAGCCAGGCGATGGAAGCCATGTCCTTATGTCTGTGCCTCCACCAGGATGGTACATCACTGCCCGAAGCCAGACAGTTGTCTGTCGTCTTGCCCTCCCTTGACTGTGTTGTCTGTCTGTTGTCTGAGTTCCCAAAGGGCATCATAGCTGAAGGGGATGTTGAGGGCTCTGCTATCCCTGGGGCTTCAGGGTGAGGCTGGGTGGCTGCTGTGCTTGGCACAGTCACAGCGAGGAAGCTAAATGAGCCTTGGGGAGACCACACTGACCTTCAGAGAGGGTGCTCCCTATTTGAAGAGACTCTACGTAAAATGCGGTAATAAAAACAAATTAGGTCAGTGCTGTGACTGACTCAGACCTATTCATCAGTCCAGCTGTGGCAAAACTTGCTCTAGTTACTTTTAAAACTTTTGTTTTCATTTAAATATCTTGAGGCCGAAATCTTTCCCCAAAGTATTTGCTCTGATGACCAATAATCAGCGGCCCTCTTACTGGAGGTTAAATGGCTCATCTGTAGTCTACAAGGTTGGAGGGTATCAGGCTTAGAAGCAGGAGCTGGCCTCAGCTCAGGGAGGGGGTAGTGACATTCACCAGGTGTAATTGAGACTCTCTGCCCCCATCTTAAGCAAACAAGGACGGGTGGAGATGCACACTGATGGAAAACACTGGTTCTAGAAGGTTCTTGTCATACGAGGGTGGGTCGCCAGTGACTGTCTAGCTGAGGTCCCACCACATCCCAAGCTGACTGTCTCTCTCTTTCTCATTCTCCTCTCCAGGCCTACACAATCCAGGGACAGTACGCCATCCCCCACCCAGATGTGAGTTTTCACTCTGCCTCTCTAGCCTTTTCTTCATTATTGTGTACCTTCCTGCATGTTGCTGTCGATTGCTACTAATATTAATATTACACAATAATATTAATCAGTTTTCTCCCTGTCTCTGATGTCTGTTGTATCCATATGACCTCAGATAACTTTTTAACCTCTTAGCACTAATTCTTGCTTGTGTTGAGGACTTGGCCTGACATCAAATTGCTGCAGTCCAGGGCTTCCCTCCCACACACAGGCCTAGCCTTTGGTGGTCCTACCCACTCCCATAATATGGGTATTACATGCTGGCCTGGCAGAGTGTAGCTTACCACCTGTGGCCAGGGTGGGCAAGGCACTTCCTGTGCACTTAAGTCAGGTGACATTATCAGAACTATTCCATGACAGTGTCCTAAGAAGGCTATTAAATGTACCTGGGCAAGAAAAACTTGCTCTTCAGAGAGCCCAAATTGAAGCACGGATTTTACCTGTGTACAAGGCCTGCTGAGAGAAAGGGGGGGGGGTGCTTTTGCTTCTTCTATAGTTGGTAAGATCCCGAACGTGGAAGTGGACTCCTGGGCTTGAACCTACACCTCTCTAGCTGGACCTACCGCCTGTTCTTTGGCCTAGGTCTGTTTGAGTATCTCCTGATGACGTGACAGTGTGAGTGTATGGTCTGTATTTGGAGGATTAAAAGCCTCCCAAGGGCGCCTGTGGGGGACACAGAGAGAGTCTTAGTTTGCCTCTTGACTCACCTCCAGGGGAGAGCTGAGTAGAAAAGGGGGCACAGGGGCCACCTGGAGTAGTGATGGTTACACCGAGCCGGCAGGGGCCAGGAGAGAAGGTCATTGTTTAGGGGCCTTAGAGATGCTAGTGGGTAGGGCTGTTCTAGGAGATGCTAGTGGGTAGGGCTGTTCTAGGAGATGCTAGTGGGTAGGGCTGTTCTAGGAGATGCTAGTGGGTAGGGCTGTTCTAGGAGATGCAGGAGGGGAGAAAGGTGCCCAGCCTCATAGTATTGGGAACTGAACCTAGGACCTCAAACATGCTAGTCAAGTACTCTACCACATAACTGTATTTCCAGCCTGGGCCACCTCTTCTTAACGCGGTTTGAACATGTGTTGGGTTTAGGAGCTCCCCCAGGACACTCCCATGTGTGCACTGCTCAGTGCCCTGAGACACTCTAGCACTGGCCAGGGCACTAATCTTGCTGCCATGCTTATGCAGACCTTGGCTTTTGAGTGGGACTGGAAATAGATGTGTATCAGGGAAAGATTTGTAGGCAGGGCCCAGGGGTCTTAAGAATTAACTGCCACTAAATAAGCATCTGAAATATGGATTCACTGTTGCTGCATGGAGATTCCTATAGTGAAAAATACATGCTGCCTTTTTTTTAACCTTTAATAAAACAACACACAAACAATTGAGAAACACGGATTAAAAATCGCTGCCCGGGCATAGCCATACCCACAAGGCCATGTTCGATGGTTCCTGGTTACAGACTGGCTGGCGCTGCTATGTCTGAATTCATAGTACCTCACTCTGATCATCGTGGCAGACACATGTGCCTTTGGCTACTTAGATGCCGAGACTGTGGGCCTCCAGGCACCCACGAGCACGTTCACCCTGAGCAGAATATACCACTAGGGCTCTGCTCGTCCTGTCCTCAGCTGCCGATGCCAAGTGGAAGTAGAACCTATGAACTCATTACAGAAAAGGGTGACCACTGTGAATGGGTGATAGAACTGAGTGAAGGGACCAGGAAGTCACTTCCGGGATGGCCTTGTCTTGTGGTGCTGGGGCAGACCTGGAAGCCAGGCTGTTGGGGTTCAGTGAAGCTGTAGACTTAGGGAATTATTCTACCCCTGCTGGGAGGCTATTGGAGAGATTCAGGCTTATCGGTATTTACCCCAGCAAAGCCAGATGTTTAAGGATGACCTGAAGGTGTCTGTAGGTTTTCCGTAGCTGAGAAAACTGAAGCCCTCGGTGTCCCTTGGGCAGGGTAGACCCTGGAGTTGGTGGAGTTCAGATCCAGCCGTAATTTACAGACCAGTGAGGCATGTGTGCAAGAGACAGGTCGTGGTTGGTTTTTCTGGTTGATTTCTGTGTCAGTACCGTGTTGTACCCTTTCTCATAGAGTTCTCAGGATCTCTTAATGGGTAGTTTATAGATTAGTGCAGCTTAATTTAAACTAATATACAAGTATTGCTATTGCCGCCTATGCACTGTGACGTTTTAATACTTGATGCTGTGCTGTGGATGCCTGTATTCTTCTGAAGTTCAGATATTCAGACCTAATCACAAAGGTGCCAGTATTAGGAGGCAAGGTCTCTGTGGACTAAGTGGGTCTTTGGGGTTCAGCCTCATGAGTCAAAAGCATCTGAGGAGCTGACTGCCCCTTCATCTCTTCCACCATGTAAGGACATAGCATCTGGGGTGCTGTTCTGGAAAGTGAGCAGGTCACTTACCACACACAACTTTCTGGCACCTTGATCTTAGACATTTAGCTTCTGTGTTTGGGAGCAGCAAATTTATGTTGTTGACAAATTGCCCATTCTAAGGTATCCCTTAGAATAGCAAGAATGATCTAGAATCTTGGCTGTTCATCACAAAATGGCTTTTCCTATGAACATTAGCCTATTTTCTTTGGCAAGGTTATATGATTTGTAAGCAAAAAGTCCATCTTCTAAGGGTACCTTTATCACATACAAAGTTGAAGACTTCGCATGAGCCACATGAAAGGAAAAGAAAATGGACGTTCTGCGACATGGCTAATGAAGGTCAGGATGATTTTTATCTGGGCCAAGTACTTGGGGAGATTTTTAAAGCTTAAGTTTCTTCGGATGCAAAAATGGCTGTAGTAACTGTGAATCCTTGATGGTGTCATTGAGTACAGAGTTTGTCTCAGCTGCAGAGGCAGCTATCACACTCGCCTGAATATGCAGGGCCACAAATCAGACATGGAGTCTACCACGAGATTCACCCCTTAGATCTGAATACACCTTGTCTAGATGAGGACGTGTTCCTTTTCCAGACCTCATTTTAAGCAATGTTTTAAATCAAGATTCCACAACACAGCCCTGAACTGCAGAAGCCCTGTGGTGCATGCCCAGCACAGTCAAGCATAAGTACTCAGAAGCCTTGTGAAGTGCCATCTGCTTTTACATCCACTTCTCTCGGGTGGCTGGCCACTCAGCCATAGAAGGTGTCTGCGTGTCCATTTCTCTAGAATGGTCACTCAGCTTTGGAAAGTGTCCAGGCACTTTTGCATCCCATAAGTATCAGTCAGGTGTGGTTTCAGAAATACAAAAGGGAAGCAGCATCACACCCTAGGACACAGGAGTGAAGCAGAAGGCACACAGACAGGTGAGCAATGGGCAGACTGCTTGTCCCTCTCGTCTGTGTTTCCAGCACCTTCCTTGAATCAGTGCAGTCACATCAAGAAGGGAGAAAAACCACAGATGGTCTGAGTTTACATGAAGCCATGTCCCGATAAAGCCATTATAAGTTGAAAGTTATCCTAAGTTAAAAATTACAAATACCTCTAACATACTGACCATTCCATGTGGGCACTGCCACACTGGCTGTTAGCTGCTTATCCTGAGGATCAGAGGACTTGGGGAGCTGCCTGCAACTCGTTGCTGCTACCCAGCATAGAGAATATGGTCATCTGGTGCTAGCTCATAAAACTGTCAAGACTCCCAAGTACAGTTTCTCTTGCTGCACAAGAGCAGCCTAAGTCACTGTCTACTGGACACTTCAGAGCTACTCCACCCTCCCCCGGGTACAAATCTCTGACTTTAACTCCAGCTTCCCTCACTCAGCACCCCACTATTTAAAGGGGTACTGACAGCGAGGCAGCACAAAGATACCGACAGAGTATGTCTCTGTACGCCAACCTGACGACGCGTTCTCACTTGGGCCCTGTGCTCTAACCTGCACCTTGCACCAGGCTGGGAAGCAGACTTCAGGGCCATCAGTCTCGCATCACAGAAGAGGGTAGCCTTAGAGGTCCCCTGGGCAAGGATCACTGGGAGTGAGTGGGAGAACTGGCATGCCAGTGTGTCTGCAGCAACCATTTAGCAAAACCTCTTGACCTGGTAGGCCTTTGTTCTGTCGTTGGTACATCTTGAAATTACAGAGGCGTCTAGCCTGATGCTGCATTAGAAATGCTCTGCATCGTGCCGTTTGAGACGATGGTACCGTCTGAGATAGAATGCGCCCTGATGAACAGAGTGGCTATCCCCAGTGCTACAGAGTGTTGCACAGCTATCTAGCATGCTTCCCCTCCCCTCCTATCTGTTCGGTATCTACTTCTATAGCCTTGTGGGAGTGGGTGAGAATGCCCTCCTCACCGATAGTGAAGAAAGAGATGAGCTAACAGCACTCCATGGCCATCAGCTGTCACTAAACCTTCTGGCTCTGTTCCCATCCTGGAACATGGCTGCTCAGTGGGCCTTTTTTGGTTCCACCTACTAGTTGGCAGGGTAACTACAGTAGACCTCACAAAACTGAAAGCTCAGGTAGCCTTGTTGGCTGAAGTTCAGCCTTTTCTTCCTTCCCTGATCTCCTTTGTGGGTTCTTCACTGCCAAGCCAACCGGCACCTTAGTTCTGGCACATCCTCAACCTCCCATGCCCCCATGTGACTTAGTAACATAATCAGAACCTAAGAAGACACCGTGGAGGAGGACGAGCTGATCCTGTGCAGCCATTAGAGCCCAGAAAACACCGTGAAGGAGGACGATCTGGTCCTGTGTAGCCATTAGAGCCCAGAAAACACCGTGAAGGAGGACGATCTGGTCCTGTGTAGCCATTAGAGCCCAAAAGACACCGTTAGGGGGAACGGATCTGGTCCTGGGTAGCCATTAAAGCCCAGAAGACACCAGGATGGAGAGGGATGCCCCAGAAGTCTCTAGAATCAGTCCAAGAAGCCAATCCTCACAGTTAGCTGTCCCAGAAAACTTCAGAAGGATAAACAGAAACAACCTCTTCTATAAATAAATGAAAACTATGT